CTTCAAAAATAGTCATAGTTATACTCATAAATAATAGTTCTGATTGATTATTTAGGAGAGTCATCATAAAGAGGTATGAATTGGAAACATAGAGCTACATAAACAATATTACATGTTATAAAATTTGAATTTTAAAGTGTTTTTTACATTGCCTGACAGAGGCAGGCCTATCAACTAGTTTCTAAATATTTCCCAATAATTCCTAGTAATTCCCTAATTTTGTACTGTGCGTTCAATTTATCTTGATAACATTTTAATTCGCTGTAACTTTTTTGTTTTTGAAGGTATTAAGGTAAACAAAAAAATAAAATGTAGGGTTAGTAGCCAAGTTTTTTTTCAAGTTACCTATAAAACAAAACAATATCAATTTTCTGACATATAAGCCTACATTATGTTTTTTCAAATGGAACACCCTGTATATTATATATGTGTTTGATAGAATATCTTATTCCGATTACAATGATATAACACACTTCATATTTTAGTCCACTCATTTTTGACAAAACGGCAAAAATATGGAGTTTTTATACACTCTTAATAATTCTCGCCACAAATATCAGATTGCCGCCTAATAAGTTGCACTTCAAAATTTTCATATATTTTTGCCGATTTGTCAACAACGAGTGGACTAAAATATGAAGTGTGTTATATCATTGTAATCGGAATAAGATATTCTATCAAACACATAAATAATATACAGGGTGTTCCATTTAAAAAAATATATAATGTAGGCTCATATGTCAGAAAATTGATAGTGTTTTGTTTTATAGGTAACTTGAAAAAAAACTTGGCTACTAACCCTACATTTTGTTTTTTTGTTTATCTTGATACCTTCAAAAACAAAAAAGTTACAGCGAATTGAAATGTTATCAAGATAAATTGAACGCACGGTCACCATGATTCCCAGCGGTTTATCCCTTGGGAAAATTGTGATGTATATCGATCTGGGACGAAACGTTGGATTTGAAATTTAATGGTGTCATCTTGTTCGCAATTTTTCCCTAATTCAACCGATCTCGTATCGCCTACCGTCTCTGAGATCCCAATGGTTGACCATTTTTCTTCCAGTTGCCTGGTGTGGCGGAAGAAAAAAAATATATTTTTTTAGTAATTTTACATTGCTTGACAGAGGCAGGCCTATCAACTAGTTTCTACATATTTCCCAATAATTCCTAGTTATTCCCTGATTTTGTACACCATAATTCCTAGCGGTTTACCCCTTGGGAAAATTGTGATGTATCCATCTGAGACGAAATGTTGGATTTGAAATTTACTTAATGGTGTCATCTTTTAGGGGGAAAAAAGTTGTGAGATAAAATACCATTTGTTTTAAAAAGCTCTTCAAATAAGTACAGAAAAAAATAAAATTGCCTTTGTGAAATTACAGTTTTCCCAAATCAGGCCTATGATGTATCCTCTCCTGTTATTTTAACAGCTGTGTTATAGCTCAACAGCATACCTGTCTCTATTTTGATGTATAGAATAAACAGTGACAGATAACTTAACGTTGCTGTTGAAATAACAGAAAATGATACATCATAGGTCTGAATATCTCCGAACCTGTTCGGAATTTATCAAATGGCAGAACGGCGTTTTATTGTCTATCAAATTTCGCAACTTTTCCCTAAATTCGCCGATCTCGTATCTCTTACCGTCTCTGAGATCCCAATGGTTGACTTAAAAAAAACAAGACCCCTGTATATTGATAGCTCATTGGATAGCTCTGTTTATGTTGATTTGAATGATATGAGGTTATTAGGTAGGTACTTATATCTCTTACAGTGTTCAAGAGAAAAAAAAATATATAGGTATCTGTTTTTAGCATAAGAAACAATGAGTTAGAAAGGGGCCTTTCTCATTTCCCTGACCGATATAAAGTTCTCCTTTCTTACTCATGTGTTAGATGACAAAGCGGATTTTATTTTTCTTCTTGAAAACTATTCAAGATAAACCTTAAACCTATTAAACTTTATATCATTGAAATCAGCAGCTATCCAATGTGTTAATAACCACATCCCACTCAAAAACCAAAAACCTAAGACTTTGGTCAATATCTTGAGATTGAGGGCAAGTGGAAAAAAAATTGAGTACTCATGAGTGGATTCTACTTGAAAAAGTACCTCTAGAAAGAAATTAATTATTTTTATTAGTTATGAAGCTTTCACAGTATTGCTCAAAATTTCTTCCCTCTAGTGGCAAACCAGTTGAAGATATCATAATGCAGTTTCGAGTAAAGTTTACATCAATAAAGATTTTACCCCTCAAATTCACATTCAAAAAAGCTTTATTGTCCAAAGTACATAAAGTTCTCATTGACAAAGCACTAAAAATAATCTTAAATAAAGTCATAATAAATAAAATACCCTAGTATACTATCAAAAAATTCAATATCTGCAATGGACGACAACAAAAAAATTTCCCACCCTGTACATACATAATTTTTAAAATATAGTTTCAAGAAAACATTATTCTTTTCTGGATTCTTGCCAATGCGGATTGATAGACGGAAACTAACCAAAACCAATGTTTCATTTATCTTAGCAGTGATTCAACAAGAGCCCTAAAGAATGAGATCAATTTTTTTCTCTGCAGAAGTGGCTTGATTAGGCATGTAAACTGTATTAGTCTTCCAATTCAATTTGAAAGATATTCTACATGAGGCTGTCATCTCAAGAATTTATCAATGCCAACTGGAATGCCAAAGATACTTTATGTGAGGGAATTCCTTATTTTTTCTCCGTTTTTTAAGGGCTGGTTTATTCACCTTTTGATAAACTGTCAGGTATGCAATCTGACGGATCCAAACGCAATTTGTTATCCCATTGCTCAGCCAGTTATCCGCCGACTAATAAAATTATGGAACGGTAAATTTATCTTGCTTGCAGATAGTTACCAGCAAGAATGAGGCTATTCGCCGTTTAACCTATATTTTTCCATAATTATTTGTTTTAATTTCATTCCAAGAAATATTACTAAACACCAAAAATATACCTATTGAATCAATCTCGGAATCAATTTACTATTTAGCTAGCCATTTAGTGACCACAGAGTAATTATATACGCAATAAATAAAATATGCTCGACCCAAGTACTGTAATTTTTACTCAGGATTGTTAAGGTTTAATACATTTTGTGTTTAGGTGGTTTTTTATAATATGTATTAAGTATATGATATGTAATGTGTAGTGTAAAACAGTAAAATACGCTACTGTATAAAACTAACTAACATATTTGGTTTAATACGTCACAGTTGTCACAAAATGAAATCAAAGAGACTTTTCTAATTTACCAAATTTAACAATAATATAGAATTTAATTGAAATATAATACTTGAACATCCATAGACATAGATATTACATTTTACATTTTTGCAAGAATTTTTCTCTTTTTTCCCCATTTCAATTTTTTTTAAATTTTTCATTTTACATATTTCTCTTTTTTTTCCATCTCTTTTTTTTAATTAAATATTTTGTTTGTTCCAAATTCTTGTACGATCAAAAATAAAAAAGTTACAGATGGTGGTACTTTATAACTTGACACCCTGTACGTTTCTGAAGTTACAGATCATGCAAGCTATGGATTTACGAATTTATCTCTTCATTTTTCACAAATTGAGAAAAAGATGTATGGCACCTTGACTTACTTGTGACTGATGTTGTAGATTGCATGTGTGCTAGGTCTTAAATGACATTTCATAATGAAATTATTTCCCAGTTTGCATACGTTTGTTTTGACAAAAATATAAAACCTAGTATAAACAGAACTCAAACTCAGAAAATTCATAAATAATTAAATTTAATAGGATCATGACCAAGCTCACGACATAATATTCAAATAGGGATTACTTAACTTATTTTCAGGGAAAAGCTTTTATTGGAAATGAAAACGCGTCATCATTTTTTTTTAAAAGATATGCTAACCAACCTATTTGTGTTTGTCTAATTAAAATTTAATAGGTGCATAGTAACAATGACATCAATTTAAAGCTCATTAATAAAATTGCCCCTTTATTATTTCCCGTTTATTTTCGAAAATGCCAATAGCCGAGGATGGCCCACAACAAACTGATTAAATTAATTTATAATATCATAACGATATAAAGTTAACATAAAAATAGATATACTATACTACTCAGACATTAGAAATGATCTAATCTCTGTGCTTTGTTGGATCTTTAAAAAAAAATTGTATAATTGCTGCATTAGAAAACTCTATTTTTGGGATTTACATTACAATAATGTGGTTAACAATTAGAAAAAGTTAATTGGATTTTTTAAAACTCATAAATTTAAATTGGAATACATATTTTTGGCTTCAAGAAGGCAGAATAAACACTCCCATAAAATTTTATTTATGAGATGTGAGAGGTTTTATTATTTATACTTATTTTTGCTGTTTAAATAATGGGGAACTGTTGACACTCCCGCCTATGATAAACCAGTGAATAACTTTTCGGCTATCAGTGTGATTAGCTCCGAATTAATTTTGTGTTAGTTTTGATTCATTGATATGGAATTTAGATATAATTTAACTGCGATTTTTAGTAGTTAAATGTTGATAACATGCTTTGGATTTTTCTTTTGGTACACAAATTCTTTTGTAGTGAAAATAAACATTTCCAATATAACAGATGTTATGTCTTTGTTGAGGTCTTTGTCACCATTATTGTAATGTAAACCAATATGGGCAAGATGAAGCATCTGTTTTGACTGGGCTTGCAAGACCAAACATGGTTCAGGCACAGAAATGTAATTTCCAGATTCAAATTTTTAATGTCGTATTCTAGTATTTTTACATGCTGAAAAAGTTTAATCCTCAATATAATGTATTCAAGAAGAAATATTCAAATAACATACACTACTTGTTATTTCACAGATTACTGCTTTAATTATAATTAAAATAATAAAATATTATCATAAGTACCTACGCGTATTCTTACAGCCTTGATAGCAAAATTAACTTCTTGCTTCATTCATTATTTTTATTATGTATTATTTTAGGTGTTCTTCAACTGCTGCAAAACCGCACGTCCAGAAGGTTCCTATTATCGCGCCTCACACCGGAAATGGAACGGAAATTGGTGTTCCTGACGTCACAAGTTCGTTTTGGCCACCATAAGCGGTACCAGGATTGGTTCCAGAGGCAGTACCTTGCCACGCCGGAGTCTCAGTCTCTTAGATGTGATATTATTAGGTAAAAAATAGAGATGCTAAGGAAATTGTTTGTTGGAAGTTTTTGGCCTTATGATAAGGTCAAGTGTCATAAACTAAGGTGTTTTTCCAAAGTCAATTGGAATAATGTGAACTTAAATCATAAATGGTGGCTGACTAGTAGCAGTGCATTTCTTATGAAAATTATCAGTGACCAGTCAGTCACCAGTTGGTACCTTGTTCCAATTGAGTTTGGAAATACCATATCAGTTTTATTGATTCTCTATAGAATTATTCCATAAAATCACCTTTAGTTTTAATTTGCTGCGAAATAAATATTAATTAAATTTAGTTCAATCTAGTTGTTTACCCGACAAATAAATTGTCAATAACTTTTTATTGGATTTTCAGGAAACTGAATGATGAATCGGGAATTACAGTAGTTATTTATTTTGAATTTTGACCTTAACACTGGTTTTAGGCATTTGATTCTAAGTTTACTTGTGGGTTCGTAATTTTCACAATATTTGTTCCTTAGGTTCATAGTAGGAGTAATTCACCCAACAAACGAACTTTTGTGCTCTGACATAATTCCACGGTGGGCGGTGATTGGCTGGCTACTTACCACTTGCACTAGCAGTGTAGCTGTGTCGAACGCCAAACTAGCCCTGTTTTACGATTGGCTATTTTACGACATAGAAAAGGTGAATATTTACATTTAAAGCACCTTTTTTTAAATAAACTATATGTTAATATTCTAGGATAACATAATGAATATTGAACCGGCCATATTGGTGATGCATCATTCAATGAGGTCCCATCCAGCAGTAACGGCAACGCTACTAGACTTTCTTTGCAGGTTGATCCCAAATTTTCATGTACCTCTGACGGAGAAAGTTCGAGGAGGTATTTTTAGTTCGCTAAGACAAATTTTGGACAAAAGAGTGCTTCCCAGTTTGGTACCTTTGTTTGACAATTCAAAGTTGGACCGAGAACTGAGGAATATGGTCAAGGAAACTTTTAAGGTAACAACTGCAGGCTTATTTGCCTCAAGATTATATTAAACAGTTTTTTCTTAAAGGAATTCTGTATTGAACCTGCAAACTTACAATCCTCAACATCTAGAGAAGATTTCAATAATTCAGCAAACAAATTTGAGGAAGATTCATTATTCATTATTTCTTTGAATAATCATCTTATGGATGGCGAGCCGGCTTTTAGCGAAGATGAAGAGGAAATGGAAACAAAAATTGCTAATCTAGAAGACGATACCGATGATGACGATATACCCTTGTCAAAGGTAAATTTTTCGGATACCCATTATAGTTATAATTCGATTGATCATCTCACTCCGTTTTTATCTTTTTTTTTTCCTATACTTTTTGTCCAGTGCTTATTATTTATTCTCTGGAAATGACTGTTCTATTTTTACTTTACATCTTCCTGTCGCTCTGCACACTCTCTTGAGGATAATTTGTTCCTGTAGCATTCTGATACAGTACTTTTCCCCCGATGTTATTTTGTGTACTTTTTCTGAATCTGCTTTATGCTTCCTATTTTCCTATTGACTAAGAAGGCAGCATGAATATTAGAGGAGTACTTCTTCTGCATAGGACACAGATTCGAAAATCAAGTTACGAGGCAAGGTTAAAATACGTCTGCCTATAAAGAATGGTCTGCAAGAGTTCCGTGGACTAAGACCACATACTGACCTTACGCTTCTGGAGAACAATTATGATGTTGAACAATGTTAATGAGCAACAACCCCAGAGGCAAATGCCATAATTAAGATGTGACTCGATTTAAAAAAAAAACACCCTTCTAGCAACCGATTCACCCAACTCAGCCTTGACAGTTCCAACAGCAAAGCATGCTGATGATTTTTCACATAAATGCTCAGTATGTTTGTGAAACCTGAGTATTCTATGAACCTGAGCTGATCATCAACAATCAGGCCCAGATATTTGGTCTACTTGCTTCTGCCTATAATACCAAGATTACATTTAAAATTCATGATTCAAGTCTGAGGTATACCTGTTCCAGGACATTAAAAATGGCATCGCTCGTATTTTTCGATGACTGGAATCCAAACTGATTGCAAGACAATAACCCATTCTGATCTAGGAAAACCACCATCCACGTCTTAACGAGCTTTTCAACTATCTTGCTTAGCATAAGCAGCAATGATATTGGTCAGTAGTTAGAGGGTAACTCCTTCTCTCCTCCCTGAAAAATTGCAATCACCCTCACCTTTTTCAAAAGGTTGGGAAATTCCCTGCTTTCACTGGATTATTTATGAAATTTACCAAAACATTTAAGACAGGTTCCAGAAGGACAAGAAAGATCTTAATAGAAATATTATCCCAACCGCATGAGGTTTATATTTAATACCCAAATTTTTTATTTAATTCTTCTGCCGTAACGGTGTTGAAAAAGAAAGAGATAGGGACCAAGAAACGGCTCAAGTAGGACAATGATAAAGGATCAGGGACTATTTGTTCAGGAATATTGCCTCACAGGTGTCTTGCAATATTGCAGTAATATGAGTTGAAGGTGTTTACATCAATTTCAGCCAAATCATCCTGCTTGGATTCTTTTCCCCTCAAGTCATTTACTATACTCCAGATCTCCCTCTGACTATTATTTGCAGATGATATTCTACTATTGTAGTAAGTGGTTTTTGCTAGTTTTAATTGTATTTTGGTATATTGATCTATAATTATTAAAATGTTACAAAAACTTCGTTAGTCACTGCAAATTTTCTGATGGTGTGCAGAGAAATTCTCAAGCCCTTGTAATCCACAGCTTTCTTTTTTTGGGCTTTATATTTACAATGGGAAAAGTGGCATTAAAGATATCAACAAGTGTCTGGCAAAATAAGTGCAGCGCATTTTTCCCCAGAACAGCGCTCCAGTCCATCTGTGAATTGGCTGTAGTTGCGCCTAGAAAGCAGAAGTTTCTTCTTTTTTTCAACATGCACACTTTTTTAACATGGTATCGAAAACCCACAGAAAACTTCATGAACTTCATGATCTTCATAATCACATCCATTACGTTCGCTTAAGATTAACGATATTAATGTTATTCACTAGTTTTTAGGAGAAACTTCATGTGCTAATGCTTTTTCATATATTTTTAGACAAACTTTTCCTTTGTGTATTGTCTATTTAATCATGCTTCTCCCTATCTGTATTGCTCAGTCGTTTAGATAGTGCAAATTCTATTGTAATTGATTTAAGGCAGCATAAAATAAACTGTTAAAAAAATAATTGCATTTCAGGTACGATTAAAAGAAAAGGGTGACAAAAGCGACGATAATATAATAGATGGTCCCCTGGGCGATCTTGTAGCTAAACTCCAAGAAGAACTAGACATTAGCAAACGATGTGATATTACCGAAGAAATTATTTCGGAACTAGTTGATTTGGACATTATTAAAAATCAAAATGACGAGGATACTCTTTGTGCGGTGTCTCGATCGTTTCTCGGCTGTATCAGTGAGGACTTGAAAAGTGAAAAAGTGTTTCCCGACGTTATGAGTCAGGAAAATTTGACAGACAGTGTGCGTACTCCTTTATTTGTTGTACTTCAAACTGTGTACGGGTATACGAATTCTAAAGAACATCAAGTGAATAAAAGTATATTGATAAGGTTTTTAGCGGAAATGCATCCAAATTTACCAAACTTAGGTATGTGATAATCAATCATCCTTATCAATAGCTTATTAATGTTTTTTTTTTCAGGTTATTTTATCCTTTACTTCCTTAAAGTGCAAATACGGACAGAAAATAAAAGAGACGATAATACTAAGGCGAGTGCGCTCAAAATCGCCTTGTACAAAGACTTTTGCAATAGCATAGGGAAAAAATTGGACCAGTGTTTGTATGACGATTTGTACGCGTGTCACGTAACTGATACCAAACTGATGATGTGGCTAGTACCAGATTTGTACAGGGATTTTAAGCAGCAGATGGTGAATAACGCGCAAGCATTAAGGGTGATTATTTCGGCTATAGATTCGAGGCAGTTGCAGACTCTAGTTGGAAAGGTGAAAAGATATTTAGTATTTTTTTTTAAAGCCAATTATGATAATTTGTTTATTGGAATTTGGCCTTTTAGCATTTCAATAGTTTTGTACAAACTGTATCAGAACTAATTGAGATAGTACCTACTAATCCTAATCTAAAATAGGTTGTTTTCGTAATATTTGCAAGAATTTCCATTTCTGATGTATTAGAAAATTGCCAATTTGTGTGGTAGGACATATCAAACAATCCCAAACCTCCATAATTTCATGTAGACTCATATCTGATTGCTTATTCCCTTTATATCATTGAAACAGATTCCCTTATACATAGAAAGTAAAATGTTTCCCCTTGCAGTATGTAACAAGTATTACCATACAGGGCAGGCTGAAATAATGGGCAATATAATATAGATATGCTGTCATTTGCCTCTGGGATGGTGCGATTCATTGAACACCCAGGAATATCTATAAAATCTATCTATTTTTGACATTTTTTTAGAAATTGTGTATCCTTTCCAAAATTTGGATGCCATACACAGTACTCAATTTTTTGACGAATTATTAATTGAAAATACAGTTGATCAATTCGTTTACCAGTGCAAATGCTCATTCCTCTACATATTTTATAAGATTTTTCTGAACTGATTTTTCAACTGGTTGCTAGAGGCTCGATATGTGTTATAATAGTCATTCATTTATGTTCTGATATATCTGTCCAAAGGTTTTCGTTTTTTGTAATGTTATCACAATCTAAGGTTGCTGGAGTTCGCCATGGCTTGCTAGGATAGATTTTGATACTTTTTAGAAGAACAATTTTTCTACTGCACCAATGCACAGCATCCATATCAGAATGAAACTTTATTATTTTGATACTCATATGTTGGTTCAAAGTTCTGAACTTTGACTTTTTCTAACTGTTTATGGGCGATATATGCTTTCTGTATTCTCTTAACAATATGAGAGTTCCATGTTAGTGTGCAATCAAGTTTCAGTCCCAGATATATGATTTCGGAGGCAAAAATTATGGCGTTTCGGATTGGTAGATTCAATGCGCACTGGGTGTATTTACATCCTTTCAATCAACCTGTAGAGGAAAAAGACAGAAATAGAAAAAATTGCACTAGATCCGCACTAGATCTACCAGTCGGAAACGCCATTAGCTTGATATTCAGAGTCTGGGTTCCATTATTCTGATTTATAGTCAATTAAACCAGTTAGCTTTTCATTAAAACAGCCTTTTATTCAAGTTTCTCATAAACCTATGGAGGATTTCAGTGTATTACTTTTATATATTTTATTCCCTACTGAACTATTATAACCATTTAATACCTTGGTTACGATAATCATAAACAGGGTCTTAACTCCAGCGTGGGAGTTAAGGATATCATCACTCCCAAGCAGTGTTGCCAGGCTCTAAATATGAAAGTGTGGTACACAATGCTCAAAAACTGTCGTACAGGGACGTACGCGCCACAAATACTTGTGGTACACATTACTTTAAATTTTTAGCAGGTATATATTTACTTAAAAAATATGATTTTTTGAGAGCGCAAAATGTTGAAAACTTGAAAATAGACCTTGCATTAAAAATTACAGCAACGGGAGTGTCCGGAAATCAAATAAAACTATTTAATAAATTTACTAAAGTCATCTCGATTAAAATACTTTGTGGATAATAAGTCAAATTGGAAATAGATTCTATTGTAACGTTGACAATAATTGCTAACTTAATATGAAAATTCCTGACAAGAAAATTTCTATCGGGATAATCCTCGAACATTGATAAATGCTCAACTTTCTCAAGCTTATAAGGCAATTTTTCGCAAGGATAATCAAGCATAATCTGATTATGCTGGGTTATTTGATGTGTCAATTGTGTCATACTCCCCTATAACTCCCTCCCCATGAACTTTTGGGCCTGCGAGTGACGTCACTATCAACAGATTATAATGATGACGTCACCCGTAGACCTCGATGGAATGCTCGCGATTCAGGCTGTGCTATGAGTTCATTTTTTCGTCGATTTTGAATATAGAAAAAATGATTTTCGGTCTGTTCTCACAGAAGAAATTAGGTGTTCTTGGTCCCCGACGGAGTAAGGAGAGTATGACAGAATTGACACATCACATAATCCAGCAAAATCGATTATGCTTGATTATTCTCGCGAAAAATTGCCTTATAGACTGTTTCCAAGCAACTCTCTTCTACATTTTTTTCCCAATTTGACCAACATTCATAAGCAAAAAGGAGAATTTAGACAGGTACATATTACCATAAAATATTACCCACTCAACCCAAGATTTCAAAACTGTGGTACATACATTGTCTTTAGCATCGGCAACTGAAATGGGATCTTTTAATATAATTAAACTCGAAAAAATTTCCTCTTTATTGGCCATGTGATTTGTACACCCAGAATCAATAAAAAACTGTATTCCTTTCAAATACTTTGTTTTTTCTCCTATTTCTTTTTCTCCAAGAAAACAAACGGTCCTGTCCACTGGATCTGACTGTGAACCTTGAAGTAACCTTTCATCTTCTGCCAAGTTACTTTCACTATTTTGAAATCAACTTTTTTTTGACCTGTTGCTGTAACCCCCTCTTGAACTGAAACTTCCTCTTGCAATAAATCCTCCTCCTACGTTGTAATCTCCTTTTATATTATAATCTCCTCTTCCATGGTAACCTCTATTCTGAGAACCTATTCGTATAAACCTCTACTGTGATCATTGCTTCTTGGTGGATTGTAGGTACTGCCTAATCCACTGTAATTACCGTAATTACTATGTATTTTGCCAATTATTTTGTGGACAAAAACGCCTCATATGATTGATTGAGCCACATCCATAACATTTTTTGTCACTATATTTCTGTGTCACAAAGGCTGTTGGCAATCCATTGCTATTTACATTCCTATGAAATAACATCCGCTTTTCACTTTCTGCCAAAAGTTTATTTTTTGCATCTTCATACTTAACATCAGTTGTATTTTCAACAATCACACATACAGTCTCATAAGACTTTGGTAATGTTACTAACAAATTACATACTTCGCAACCTGATAATCAAATTCTAAAATATGCTTCTCAAGTGACTCGCCCTCTTTTAATTTTAGTGATAATAACTTTCGTGTTAAAAACATTTGTCCTGGAAGCCCTTTCTTCTCATTAAGATCTTTCAAAGCCGTCCACATCTGGCATGCGTTATTTTTATCTCGAATATCTCCAAACACTGGACCACTATAGATTGGCATTGCTTGTCTTGTTTCTTATCTTTTTCTTTCCCTCTGTCATCTTTGTATCCGTTATCATTAAATTCATATTCGATCCATTTTGCCACTCCTTTTTCCTCTAGCAACACCTGCACTCTAAACTTCCAGGCTTCATAATTATTATATTACCATTTAGTAATTCAATATTGTAATTGTTCTTTGCAGCAGCTATATTTATTATTATTTTTTTAATGTATTTTATTTTTCTGCTCAACTATGTTCCACAGGAGAGGAGAGGTGATAGCACACCTCCCTGCGGGTAGCCTCTTGTGACCATTCCTTTAATGTTGACGTCCTGCACACTTATTTGAACATTTGTTCTGGAAAGCATATTGAATATCCATCCGGTAACAGTTTTCGGAGTATTCCTTTCTGTTAGCGAGTGGCTAATTTTTTGAAAGGTGGTTTTGTCAAAGGCCCCCTAAATGTCGATTAAGACCCCCTGTGTCCGTTGATCTCCTGGGGGTGTATGTGTGTTGATTAGGGTGAAGTGGATTGGTTGACAACACTTCATCCTTTATGTACCTTTCGCATAGCTTCTTCATTGTTTTTAGAGTAAATGATGAGAGGCTAATGGGGCGATATGCTTTGGGTGTGGTGTAGTCCATCCTTCCTGGTTTGGGTAGGAAAACCACTTTAACTTCTCTCCAAGCCTTGGGTATGTATTTCAGCGCCAAGAACGCCCTGAAAACCCCTACCAGGTGCGGCAAGAGTGGCGCCAGACTGAAGTAGGGCTGGATAGATGCCGTCAGGTACTGGTGCTTTGAAGGCGGAGAAGCTTGAGATTGCCCATCATAATTTTTCCTCGTATATTATCTGATTCGCTTTCATGCTGTTCTGCTGATAGATTCGTTTGAGAACCAGACTTTTCATGATTCTGACTAAAAAGTGATGTTTCTTCTCAATGAAAATGATGCAATGACATTTACTTCTAGTTTGGTTACTTTTTAATGTAATTTTTCGAGTTTGTGTTTTAAAGAATTTTTCAAAAAATATTCACTCAACCCTGAAAAATATAAGATAATATTAACAATTATGTTTTAGCTTCGGTTAGTGTTATAAAGTAGTAAATAAACTGATTTGATATACATACTACCAATATCTAAGAATCTAAGCTCTATTATACGTATTTCAGGTTCTAACAATTCAGTTTTATTGTTCTAGGTTCTACAAGGACATCTAATAATGTTCAAAACGGACAACTTTCACAACCTCCTGAAGGCGACCCTCGGCTGGGAATCCATCGAACAGTTTTTCCTGTGGCAACTGATCAACGCGCACGATTTTACCATCGACACCGTGATGCCGCTGATCACCGATCTGGACTACGACCAGCACCCCGAAGCCCTTACGGCCATCATGCTGATGTTAAAACAGGAAAAACCGAACGCGGACTACATAAAATGTCTATTTTCAAGAGATATCTGTGATAATGGTGACTTGTTTATCTTTACCGTGATAAAGTACTGGTGCGACGAGTACATCGATAAGGTGGCAGAATTAATCTCTTCTCTGTTGAGTACGAGGTATCCTTCGTCAACGCCCTATAAAAGGAAACGGACTAATGCAGGTACTGTTTCATATAAATGTGGATGATATGATGATAACAATGTGTGTGACTCGATGATTTATATAAATGGTAATTAGTGAGTCTCTGCAATATGGTCTTAACTTTAAAACACAAAAAAAATCGCCTGTACAATGTTAAAACAGTACTGAATCAACATTGTAAGTAATGGGAATGATTTTATGTTGTTTCAAGATACAATGGATAAGAGTATCTTTATTTTTGATTGGAAATTTTTTCTCCATTCACAAGATATAGAGTTCATATATTCAAAAATCAGTCGAAACTTGAAATCACCTGTCTGTTCTCTGGACCCAGTGTTACAATTTTTCCAATCAAAAACTGAGACACCCTTAAAATGTATAAACTAATCTAATAGAATATAGTTATTGTGCGCAGGTAAGCCAAAATTATGATTGCATTAAAGGTTCATATTTGGTTTGAATTCCACATAATTATTTCAACAAACTTTTCATAAAATTGTCTGATGTCATTATTGAAAAAATTACTTTACTTTACACTAAAGTCTAACACTCTCCTTTACTGGATGTGGTTCTAAAGCCACATCAAGAAATTTGCATACAGAAACGTTGCAGTGTGCGCGAATCGTTTGCTCAAATAAATACGTAGCTTTAGACATTGAGTTGTAAGGCTGGTTTTGATATCGACGTTTTGTTGTATACTGTTTTTTTTTTTGTTCCTAATGGAAAATATATTGGTTAAGAGCTAGTAACTTCAACTGGTAAAGCCATGCTTTATTTCAGGTAAGGCCCTTGTGGTTCAGGAACGCAGCTCCTCTAATTTGATTCTCAGGACTTAAACAGTTTACCTATGAGAAATTATTCTTGTCACATTGTTAGCATTATTTATTTATATAGATGGCGAGAATCATTCAAGAATAATAATATTTTTAGGGCAGAATGCTAAATCAATTAGTTGCTCGAAAAAAGTTAAGATTCTTGAATGGTTTTCGACAAAATCGGAACAAATCAAGTATTTCAGTAGCGTGTCAAGCATGAACAGAAGACTATTTGTAGCCGACGTCGTGTTTTATAAGGTTTGTTGCTTTATGGGTATTTTTTTCTTATTCTTTTTAAAGGTAATAAAGTATTAAGTACTACAGTACCAAGCGCGGACCAAGTCTTAGGCCATTTAGAAAAATTACGAATAATCTGTGAAAAGCACGACTGCATGGCGATATATACATTAGATTCCATGCAGAGGGCTCTTAGTGTCGCTCAAAATAATAGGTAAGCATCTAAAATTTCTTTCTCAAAGTACTCTAGTGTCAATTAATATTAATTATTATTAAATCTAGTAATGATAGCCAAAAAAAGCAATTTGGGGAACTGTTCGCACTCATGGAAGAAGAGCAGGAAATTAGCGCAACGAAAAGCAGACTTCATGGTAGGGGAAGAAAACCTGCGCCTGGAAAACCTTCGCCAGCTGCTGTTGCTAGTGTCAAAAGACAAATTGCCAGAGATCTGACTGATAGTTCAGAGGAAAGTAGTGAGGTAAAACATTGATTGTAAATGATTATTTATTTATTTATTTATTTGTTGAAATACTCTACAGAACATTGTGCCAAATGATACATAACGACAATTCTATACATAACATATTGCGATAAAAACTCGATAATCATAAAGAATACTACATACTATTACATCTTACATTTTACATTAAACAAAAACACAAGGGCAATGCTTAACAGCCAAACACACAAATAAATAGTATATTACAATCCGAGACGGGAAATGCTTCATTGCTTATCGAGAGGTTATATAGTTTATTGAGACGCGTAGCGTCGAGATAAACTGTACCTTGAGACAGCAATGAAATTTCCCGTCGAGGTTTGTATACTATTTTATTTTTAACCATAATTTCTTGAAAAAAAAATAAAAAATTCGCAACAGCCAAATAAATGAGGTCGGGAAATGAGGACGGGAAATATTTCCCTGCTCCATTTTCCGTCCGTGGACGGGAAATGAGGACGGAAAAAATTTCCCGTCCTGAGACAGGTAATGGACAGGGCCGGTATTCTGGTTCTCAAAAACGCTCACCGCTTTCTAGTCGCTCGGCACTTCAAATGCAAATTTACATTGAAAGTGCCGAGCGACTGAAAAGCGGTGAGCGTTTTCTAGAACGAGAATACCCGCCCAGGAAAATGAAAAGACAGAAATGTGACATTTTCAAATTTTTGAAGTCAGTAATGACAACATTTCATATATGGTTAAAAATAAAAATTAATAACAACACCAATGATCACAGAAAACGTTTCAATTTGGTTTTGAATGTTTGTGAGGTGCACTCGAAGTTAAAATCCATCAGGAGATATTTATTAGAATGAGTGATAATTCTATTTGCCACTGTATTTTTTCCCACATCAGTACGGTTATGGTTCAAGGAAAACAGTTCAGGGCCCGGATTCCGAAGTCACAATTCGATAGTATCGTCCATAAAAAAATAGATAGACGATACTATCGAATCATGAGTTCGGAATCCGAGCCCTGATTGTCTAGTCGTCTAGTGGAACGAGCTGATACTTTGAAATTGAACAATGATAGGAGCTCAGGGGAGTCAACAATAGCTATTTTCAGGTTCGAAAAAAGGACGGTTCTAGAACGGTTCGAAACAATCGCACAGTTCATCAATCAACAAAATGGCAACGGCTCAGCTATCACAAATTTCAATAATAAACTGTGTGATTGTTGTGAACCGTTCTATAGAACCGTCCTTTTTTCGAACCCGAAAATATTTTCCTATCACTTAGTATTTTATGTCCAAATGACATTGAAAGCCTTGTCCTCCGACCCTCTAAAGAGTCAAGCCCTAACGTTGCATTTCGCTCGTGATCCATTCATTGCCAGATTAAATTTTGTATGTATTATATTTCCTAGAACACTGAACACTGAACACCATGTCTTGGGAATCCAGTAGCAAATTTATGTTCATATCACCTATTATTATACAAGAGTTTTTCTCCCTTTCCATTATTTTGTCCACCTCAGTAAGGAATGTTGGCACGTTACTACTCGGTTGTCTATATACAGGGTGTCCAAAATACCATGGGCCAGCATAGGTATATCAGAAACGGTAAGAGATACGAGGGCAGTTAAATTAGAAAAAAGTTGCTATTTTCAAAGAGTATTTGAAATATATTTTCGTTGTTGCCAAAATTTTATTAGTTTCTGAGATACAGGGTGATTCAAATATGAAATAAAAAATCCAGGTCCGTATTTTAAAAAATTAAGTTGATGATGGTATCCTGAAGACGAAACGTCGGATTTAACATTACAAAACACCATATTGTAGAGCAAAAAAAATCATGAAACTTTCAAATTTAAAGAATGTCTCTAAAATCAATAGTTTTAAAAAAATTCGCCAAAATTGTTTTAGGTGTTTTCCACAAATCACCCTGTAACTCGGAAATTGATAAAAATTTGGCAACAACGAAAATATATTTTAAATACCCTTCGAAAATGGAAACTTTTTTCTAATTTAACCGCCCTCGTATCTCTCACCGTTTCTGATATACCAATGGTGGCCCATGGTATTTTGGACACCCTGTATACTCCATATTGTCCATTTAGATTTTGCCAGAGTTATTGATAGGAAATTACATTCCTCTAGATTTACAAAGGATGTATCGTTCACTGTATAGTTTATATTATTTCTGAGGTAAATACTACACCTTTTCCATCTGTAATTGCGAATATATCACTTAATTTTGGGAATAGTAAAATAATATTGCGAATATTTAAATGCAATTGAGAAAAGTTAAATATAATTGCGAACACATCAAATGTAATTGAGAATAGTTTAGTGTAATTGCGAATATATCATATGTAATTGGGGAAAATCAAATAAAATTAGTTATAAATCAGATGTAATTGAGCCTTTTAATTTTTCAATCAGCATGTGTATGTTGTTGCTAAAATATTAACTAAGTCTGTTGTTGAAGAAAGCTTTTGTTTACATACATATAGGTAGTTTTGTGTCAAAGAAAGGCGAAACAAAAATGGAATTTCGCAATAATTGTGTTATAATATACAGATCAACCGATCAACGATGACAAGAAAGAGTCGACAGAGAAAATATTTGATTATGTCTTAATTATATTTGATTAATTCGCAATTACATTTGATATATTCCAAATTTCATTTGATTATCCCCAATTCTATCTAATATATTCCCAATTACACTTAACTTTTTTCAATTACATTTGATATTTTCGCAATTACACTTAACTTTTCCCAATAACCTTTCAATATAGTTGCAATATCACTTGACTATTCGCAAAATCAATTGATGAATTCGTAATATAAATTGTTATATTCGCAATTACATGTGGAAAAGGTGTAGTGCTGTAATGTATTGTAACCATGAAGAAGCGTTGAATTACTTTATTAACTAATTCACATGACCATAGGACATGACTATGACATGACCATAGGACATGACTATGACGCGACTGTTATCGATGGCCACGTTTTGGTTCACCAAATCGACAGCTCTACCATCCCTCGGACGTTTGTACACCGGTCTTTGGTTATTGCCACGATTCACAAGAGTACGTTCGGCAAAATCCATTGGAAATTTAAACCGACATGCCCCGTCCACAATACACGTTGCTTTTTCGCGGTTTACCAAACACGCACTGTGAAGCTAATGCTGGGCTACGCGCGCATATAACTCGGGCTGATTAAATCCGTCCGGGATATATGCAGAGACGATATATGCCGTCCACATCATTAGCGTTTTGAATCCTATCGTCCGGTGTAAAAGTCAAAACGATATGCGCATGTGGCAAACCACGTTTTTGGAACTCAATTACGTAATGGTAAAAAATGATTAAACCAACTGACAGTTATCATGACAAGACTAGTGCCTGGTGGCCTTAATATACGTACCAGGTGAGCAGCAGACATCATCTCTCACCCCCAAGTTCAAAAAATATCTCTACAAATTTAATCGGTTTGGAATTTCTGCGAGGTCTGCTCCTCACATTGGAACTACCTATCTCTCTAGGATCACCTGAACACATACTTCTATTTTTGTTAGGTTCTACTGAACTTGTTCTCTGCATTTTGATTTGCCAACGGACCTCCACTTACATCATGAGAAACCGCACTAGATTTATTTTCTAAATTCACAAGAGAGGGATGGGGTCTATTTTCACTATTAACAATTGTTTTTTTTAGAGGACGTGACATTCTGCTCAAAATCGCCAAGGGTTTGTCTAATTTCAGGATTAGATATCTCCGAACTGCAATGTGTTTCAATGTTGCAAGCTATATCTGTTTTCTTACTCTCAGGAATATCTAACCCCTCATAAAACCTGCCAAATTTGATAATCTGATTCGATTGCTTAAACCACCTTAATCTACTATCCTCTAAAGGACTAAAAACATAGCTTTCACGGCCCAATAATACTTTATTTACAATTGCCTTCGCCCATCCAGGTTTATTTGTATTCCGGTAATCTTTAACATAAACCAATTCCCCCGCTAAAAAAATCACATTTCTGTTACCATTATGAAACTCAATTTGTTTCTGTATATTTTTTTCTGAAACTGGTCTAATGAAAAAATCGAGTCTTGTCCTAATTTTCCGCAAAAACATCAATTTGGAAGGGGTTTCTCCTGTTACACAATAAGGAGTGTTTTTATATGAAAACAAGTATTTACTCACCAGAGTCTCCAGAGTTTGGCCCTTATTTTTATTATCCATATGAAGTTTACTTAACGCACTCTTAAAAGACTTTACTCCATTTTCGGCGGCACCATTTGTTGCCGGATGGTAAGGAGGAGATTTGACATGTTTAATGCCGTTTTTTATACAAAATTTTTCAAATTCAGCACTCAAACGCTGAGGACCATTATGTGAAACAAGAGTATTTGGCAGCCCAAAACGCGCAAAGCATTCCCTCAATTTTTCCAAAGTTCTCGAAGTATCCATTTTATAAACCTCTGGCCATTTAGGGCGGGTATTATAAAACTACTTTGAGAGTTAACTTAAAGTTAACTTCTGGAATTACATGTAATTCAAAAAGGTAACTTCAAGTTAACTGTCAAAGCAGTTTTATAATACCCGCCCTTAGAGTATGAATCGACAGGTCCCAGGAAACTTAATGAGATGTAAGGCTCGTTTCACAAGGTTTCATACTTGACCTTGAAACTTGAAAAAAAAAAAGATTTGTCGTAGATTAATTCATATGACACATTCAATTTTTTTTGACAAATTAAAATGAATGACTTCTGGTTTAAGAACCGACGAACGTTTTTGACGCCATTGATTTGTTTCAGTCAATTTTCATTTGTTAAACAAGGAAGGCAAATGCTGGTGGCAAATACAAACCCTGGCGAAACAAACTTTATCTTATTGGGTGTTCGTGAATTTAACATGCACGCATCACAATTTTTAACAAAGTCCTCAATGTGCTTGTCTAGACAAGCCCACCAAAAATATTGCCTCGCCAACGAATTCATTCTTACCACACCATTGTGAGCGCCATGCACTTTCTCCAGCAACTGCTTTTTAAATTTCTCAGGAATTAAAACCCTATAGCCCCACATAACCAAACCATTCTCCATACTTAATTCTAAATGCCTATGATAAAATGGCTTAAGCTCTTCAGCTACCAGATTAAACCATCCATCACGCACATACAAATAAACCTTGCTTAGCAACAGATCCCTCCTAACCTCCTTCCTAAGATCGTCAGAACTAATAGGAAACTAGTCCTCCACCAAGAAAAAAAAGTAATCCGGCATCTTCATTATTTGTCTCTACAACTTCAAGTGGAAATCGAGATAGTCCATCGGCTCCATTATTTTTCCCATTAATATAGTGAAATTTATAATCAAACCCACCTAAAAAAAAACGCCCATCTCTGAAGCCTCCCCGCAGCCATCTGAGGAACTCCCTTGTTTTCTCCTTTCTCCAAACAAAGCCAATAATGGCTTGTGATCTGAGCATAATACAAATTTATTGTTCATCAAATACTGATAATATTTTTTAGCGCCCCCAAAAAATTGTGAGAGCTTCCTTGTGTATAACTGAATAGTTTTTTTCTGCTTTGTTCAAAATACGGGATGCAAAACTGATTGGTTTTTCAGAACCGTCATGTGAAGCAATACAGCTCCTATGCCCACACCTGAAGCATCGCAAACCAGTTTAACAGGCATTTCAGGATCGAAATAAGCGAAACTTTGTTCAGAAGAAATGGCTGTCTTAACATTTATAAAAGCTCTCTCACATTCCAATGACCAAACAAATTCAACACCGTTTCTCAATAACCTGTAAAGAGGATTCAATATGGTAGATGGGTTAGAAACAAATTTTCCATAATAATTTATCATGCCTAGAAATGCCTTTAGTTCTGTTACATCCGATGGCCTAGCAACTTCCTCATAGCCCTAATTTTCTCCGGATCTTTATGTAAACCTTCCTTGTCAATTATATGCCCCAAATATTTTATTTTAGATTGAGAAAATCTACACTTGTTTAAATTTAAACGAAATCCTGCTCTACTCAAACGATCAAAAACCTCAGTCAATTTTTTTAAATGTTCCAGCCGATTTTTCCCTGTTACAACAATGTCATCCAGAAAGTTGATTGTACCAGCTGCACCTTGCAACACCTTTTCAACAACTTTTTGAAATATCAAGCAGGCTGGCTTTGTTCTAAAAGGCCAACGATGGACCAAATAAATACCCCAATGTGTACCCCATGCTAATAGTTTTTTGGTCTACGCTGTAAGCACCAACTGATTGTAAGCTACTGAAAAATCAAGTTTAGTATAATGTTCCCCACCTTGGAGTGCTGCAAACAATTAATCTATTTTAGGAAGAGGATGCTTTTTATCCTCTAAAAATTTATTTACAGTCATTTTGTAATCAGCACACAGTCGAATCTTACCATTCTCCTTAACCACGGAACCAATGGAGTACCCCATTTTGAATTCTCAACCAAAGAAATGATACCTTGTTTTTCTAACCCATCCAGCTCAGAATTTATTATTTTTTTGAAAGCAAATGGAATAGGGCGAGGCTTATAAAAAATTGATTTTACTCCTGGTACTACTTTAAGGGTAATAGTTTCATATTGATAACATTCTAACCAAAATTTGTGTCCTTATCAACCTTGACTTCACCCTTAACCATATTGAGCTAGATGTCATTCGCTCTTTCTTGAAAATCAAATTTGAATCCAAAAAGTTTACATAAATCTCAACCAAACAAAGGTGTTCAACCATTTTTAACAATTATTAATCTACCTTTTTCTTTAACTTGATTGTGATATATAATTTTGACAAAAGTTTGACCTTTAGGAATGATAATACTACCATCGTAACATCTAAATGTGACAGAAGTAGGCTGCAAAACACAATCATAGAATTTTTTTTTTAAAAAAGGTTCCTCCGGCAACACAGATAAAGCCACACCCGAATCCAACTCCATGAGAATCTCTTTGTTATTTATAATAACATCTAATTTAACAGAATTAACATAATTTGTATTATTCACATAAAACATGTCGATAAAATCTAGGCTTTCGGCCTCTGTGTCACCCTCAGATTCAACAAAATTTGTTTTAACAGAGCAAACCCTAGCCAAATGGCCCACTTCTTTACAAATTTTACCAGTATACTGCTTGTACTGACATCTGGCAAAATTATGATTACCTTTTCCACAGCTTCTATATAGCTTAACACTCACCCCTCTTCCCGATGATTGGATAACATTCTTCTTATTCCCATCCTTCATATTCCTATTCCCACGCACATTTTCGCCTGACTGCCTCAGACTCTGGGACTTATTTTGAGATTGCCCCAGCTGTAATTTATTTACTGGAAGTGGAACATAGGAAGGTACTACCGCAGCCTTTTTTTTTTAAGGCACTTCTAGTAATTCTTCAAAGGTTCGAGTATGCTCCTCTTAGCAAACCCGATCTAACATAGGACCCTTACATAAACCTGAAACAAATCTGTCCTTCAGAATGTCATTCAACAAATTACCAAACTTACAGTCGCTGGCTTTATTTTTTACGCGTATATACCATTGACGAACTGATTCATATTCAGTCTGTTTCAGGTCATAAAATTCAATTCTTTCTTTAAAAACTGATATTCGCCTTGAGAACTGCCTTTTGAGAATGTTACAAAGCTGATAATTTTTTGACTGGTTCAACCGAGGGTTTCACGATAAATTCTGATGATTATGTACTTTATTAGATTATATTTGGTTTCATAAGAAGGGAGCCTATGCCCACTGTTGTCCCCAAAGATAAATTATCCATACACAAGAACCGAACCGATTTCCTTGACATGTGAGTCCTTCTCTTGATACCAACATGCAATTGGTATAGATAATCATTGAGGATACGGTTGTATTGCGAATAACATGGTCCAACAAACAACAGGTTACTCATTTCTGCCACGTTAAGCATTCTCGTTAAAGACTTGTCACAAACAGTTTTTCTCTGGTTAGCATCCTTCAGTCCTAGAAAAACAACCACCTAATTAGACTTTGTCAACTTACTACACAGATTATTGAATATTTGTTGAAATGAAAACTGGTTAGTATATTGACAATTTGTGAAGACTGGATTTGTCCCCTATCATAAGAATCTGGGATTTTGTAGACTTGACCTCTTTTGAAGGTATTTCACATGCCTGATCGTGATTGATGGAGCTTCTGTTTGACTGCAAGGTCCAGTTTATTGGCCAACTCAGTTTTTTGTTTTTCTAGTGTGTCTATGCTTTTTTAGAGGCTTGAGCTGTCAACAGTTAGCCTGCCAATTCTAGACTTTAATTTGATAATTTATTCCTTAGGCTTTTGAGCAGATAAAAAATTACTTTCAAAATCTTTTGGAATTCTTTTTCTTGCTTCCTCCAGTTCTTTTAGATTAGATTCTTTATTGATTCTATTGTATTTTCAGGAAGAAGAAATAGTCAAACCAAAACAGGCAAAGAAAAGGAAAAAATTGTTATCGGAAAGCGATTGACGGATTCAAGCTGTGGGGTACGGGCTTAGTTATGGAGCCCAGGAGATCGATGTTCATATCAATGAAAATAATACGCTTATTACAAGACTAGTAAGGAAAACGAGGTTTTCCTTGGTCCGGGAGGAGTGATGATCACTTTTACAATTCCGTACACTGCCGTTACCAGCTGTTTCGCGAAGAAAATGATTTGAGCCTAGTATTCACAAGCGAGAAATTACCCAGATAACTTTGAAATGTTGTTAACTTAAATATTTAAATGAAATGTCGCGCTTGTGAGTATGCAGTTTTGAATTTCTAGTGAGTAGGTTTTTGGTTTCTCAGCAAACGCTTTGACAAAACCAATTAAAATATTGTTGCCAAAATAAAAATTCATATGATACAGCAAAAGAATATGCTTCCAAAACTGTCAAATTGTTGCTGAAAAATTAGGACCCTCTCTATTTGTTGTAGAAACTCAATTACAAAGTGGGGTGAGAGATTTATGTTATCATTATGCTAGGATAAATGGTGAAATTTTCAAAACCTTGCAGAAAACTTTTTATTTTGTGAAACATTATATTGATACAGAATGTACTTTTTTATTTTATTGTTTATTTTTTATGTTTAGTGGTAGAAATCAGGGGTGGAGCATAAGGATAAACTTTTTTGTTGCATTTTATTGCTTGATAGCCTGTATCCTTTACTGAATAATAGGGAAAGATTTTTTGGGTCTATGTATAAAGGTATATATTACATTCATTTAAATATTCAATACTAAATGAAATAGTGAGATTTGAGAAATTTTATGCAAAATAGTCTCGGAAAAAGTAGATACATTTATTATTCTTTGACTCATATGGAAAACTTTATCCTCGGGAGCAACAAATATCATTACATATGTACTTATTAAATAATAAATTATTCATAGAGCTTTGAGTAAAATCAGGCAATCAAGGCTGGGACTCTGTAGCGAATAGAGATATTTTTTCTATCTCCATTGATTTCAGAGAAAAGAGAGGATAGCAAGTACCTACTATAGCGATTGGGATAACAATCTCTATCCATTACGGAGTCCTAGCCCAGTTAATGTAACTAATTTTTCCAATATTTTTTTTCAATTTTTGGGTATGAGTCAAATATTCTATAAACTCCGAAAATATTTCCTATGAATTCAGACATCTTGCTATATCATTCAATATTTCATTCTCTAGAAAGTCAGTGTCATAATTTATTTTACCCAACTAGAATGGAATTCTGATTTCTTTTTCCATATAAAATGTTTATTAATTTTATTTCATTATACATCTACATATTTTGAAGAAATTTTATTAGGTTTATGGTTTCCAGGTAGTTATTTGACTATGAAAATTATTAGCCAACCAATGCAAATTCTTAGTATTTTTCCTTTACCAAATAGGATAAAGATTTGATAATAAATATGTAGGACTCCCAAGTAGCCTCTGGCAATAAATAATGATAAACCCCTTGTTTGCCTCTATTTTTCTTCTGTAAGGCTTTGTAAATATCTCATTTATCCTCGCATATACCATTTTCAATCCAAAAAAATAATAATTCATACCGAATTTTTTGTAAATCTGTGTAAAATTGACAAAACATATTTTTAGGAAGAAAAAAAATCTGTAAATATTTGTTATTGTTAGGTTTTCGTCCCTGTTAATTTCTTTGTACATCCCTAGAAAGTTTTTAAATAATTGAATTTTGTTATCGAAAAGATGGTATTGTATATAGAGAAGTCTGTAAATATAATTTATAAAAAGCCTTAATACTTTTTAGGTTCACACTGTCAAATAAATATTGTTTTTGTATGTTTTTAATTATTTTTTATTTAGTAGGATCCTTGGAAATAGAAACTGGTGGGCAACAGAAGACAATATCAAAACTAGTATACAAACAAGTATTGAAAAGAAGATATTACTCTCGTTCCAGTTATGAGAATGTTATTTTTTAAACTAATTAATTGCTCTATAAAATAGCAAACAGTTTCCTTTAATGTCTAAAAATCTATAATACTTCCAGATGGGATGAGACAATTCAAAACTCTTAAAGGTTAAAGTTCTAAATAACAAATAACTCGTTAAGTGGATGATGATTATTGACGACCCCTATGGCATTTGATTGAGAAACATGATATTCTGATAAGGAAATATCGTCCTGGGGTTGTAATGGGGGGCGTTGTCAATCTCGGCCCGAGGTTACAGGTATAATTTATAAAAATGGACAATCTGGGCCCAACATTAAAATCTACTTGTTTTTAAATAATGAAACTCGGCCGAGTCTCCAAATTCAAATTATATTTTTCATTTATTACCTAAGTTTGGGCCCATTTCGGATAGAACATATAGTATATTACAATCCGAGACGGGAAATGCTTCAATCTCTGGTCAAGAGGTTATATAGTTTACACTAAACCGCGAGACAGCAATAAAGTTTCCCGTCGAGGTTTGTATACTATTTTATTTTGAACTATAATTTCTTGGAAAAAAAAAAAAAAGTTCCTGACGGATTCCTGATTTCCCGTCCTGGGAAGGGATATGGAGCAGGAAAATGAAGAAACAGGAATGTGAAATTTTCTAATTTTTACTCAGTAATGTCAACATTTCAGATGTGGTTAAAAATAATAGTATATTACATACCGAGGTGGAAAGTGTTTCATTACTAGCCGAGGTCTAACTAAAATCTGCCAACAGTAATGAAACACTTTCCACCTCGGTATGTAATATACTATTATTTACAATCATTCGAATTTTGTAATTTTTATTTGAATGAAAACTAAAAAAATACCATAAATTTTAACAATTTCATTTACTTTCAGCCCACGGAAGGAAAGTAAACTTTCGATCCTTGGGTGAAAAGTGAAAGTCAATAAAGTGACATTTTCAAACTTTTTAACTAATACTATTGCACTTACCCTATGTTTCTGTTTCTATGTTCGAAAGTTCTTCAAGAAAAATAAATATACTGAGTGACATAGAAATTGCAACACCCAGTAAATGTAAATATATTTTATTAATATTTTGGGAAGTGGAAGTAAACTGCTCGCCAAAAAAAAAACGGGACAAGCAATTTTTAGCACCATATTCAATTTGTAATAACTTTTTTATTTTATTTTTGTTTTTAATGCGGTTTGTGGTAGTCGATAGTCCATGTTGTAGATCACGTGGGAGAAAAATATTTTTTTTTGAAGAAATGCATTTCCAAGTTATACAGGGTGAATAATAAATTGATGCAAAAGTACAAAAAGTATGGATGTCTGCCATATTGACAATACTTTTTTTTCCGGATTTCCGTATAGGCCTTTAGCCCTTTAGTAAGTTAATATCAATATCTCCAGACGTATTTGCCAGTTTTTTGAAGTGCCCTTTGGCAGCAGACACAATATTAAACAACAAAGTTGGCAAAATCTTGTAAGCACAATGTTTGAAGGGCTGTATCTTGAAAACGGTTGCATTGATTTCGAAAAGCTTGGCAGATTTCGAAAGCCCATTTTTTTAGAGGTTCCACGACTCGCTTGCTTTTTTTGCAGATGGCCCTGTTTACATTATACAGGAGTCGAGGTAAACATACACCTCAAATTAGGCAAATTATGATAATTTTTCTTTCAAACCTATACAAATTGATCTGTATGCCTTTGTTTTCTTTGAAAATTGGTTAGATGTGTCTTTGCTTTGGGTCAATATATCGAAACAATTTTTTCATTTTTTGCATTACAGTTTCCTGAGGAGCCATTTTAGCACCACAATGTTGGAACGATGTGGCTTACGGTTTAATGGATTGTGAAACGTTTTCCCACTATGAAAGCTTATTTTATGAAAACTAATCGGCTATTTTCGGAAATTTAAATTTTGACATTATACAGGGGTTACGAAAAAGTAAACGTGAGTTTTTAAAAATTCTCAAACAGCTGTAGCTTGAAAACGATTTTGGAAGCTTCATTTTATGAAAGTTAACTCTGTTATTTTTCAATGAAAAACTTTGCATCATACAGGGAGAATTAATCTGCTATTTTAGGAAATTAAAATTTTCTCATTATACAGGGGTTGCGAAAAACTAAACATGAGTTTGATAGAAATTCTCAAACAGCTGTAACGTGGCAACGATTTTGGAAGCTCGTTTATGAATCTTATTTTTTTAATGGAAAACTTCGCATTATACAGGGATTACTGAAAAGTGAATTTAGGTTTGCTAAAAATCCTTGAACGGCTGTAACTTACAAAAAAAAATGCTATTCAATTACCAACAATACAGGAAAATTAGCGTATCTGTAGCCAAAAAGCACTAATCGACAAAGTAAAATCACCGCTTCGACGTTCAAACAGCAAGTTTGGAAAACAAGTCAATTCGCATAATTTCAAAACTACCAGTATTAACCATTTTCGGGCAATTTCAATTTCGTTTTTATGCTTGATCTGTGTATACTAAAAGGGTATATCATGCAAAAAAGTCAAGCCAGGTCGTGAAAAACGAGGGAAACTGATGCGTTTCCAAAATCGTTCTCAAGTTACCGCCGCTCAAGCAATTTTCGCAAACTTAAGCTTACTTTTCGGTAATCCCTGTATAATGCGAAGTTTTCCATTAAAAAAATAAGAGAGTTAATTTTTATACATTCTTCCAAAATTGTTTTCAAGCTACAGCCGTTTAAGAATTTTTAGCAAATTCACGTTTACTTTCTCGCAACCCCTGTATAATGATAAAATTCAAGATTCCAAAAATAAAATAGCCGAATAATTTTCATAAAATGAGCTTTCACTCCTGTATAATGTAAACAAGGCCATCTGCAAAAAAAGCAAGTGAGTCGTGGAACCTCTAAAAAAAAGTTCTTTCGAAACCTGCCAAGCTTTTCAAAATCATTGCAGCCGTTTTCAAGATACAGCCCTTCAAACATTGTGCTTACAAGATTTTGCCAACTTTGTTGTTTAATATTGTATCTGCTGCCAAAGGGCACTTATCAAAAAACTGGCAAATACGTCTGGAGATATTGATATTAACTTACTAAAGGCCTATACGGAAATCCGAAAAAAAAAATATTGTCAATATGGCAGACATCCATACTTTTTGTACTTTTGCATCAATTTATTATTCACCCTGTATAACTTGGAAAATGCATTTCTTCAAAAAAAAAATATGTTTCCGTAAAAATTCAATAGTCAGTTGCGCCTCCACGTAAATTTTGACATTCTGTAACTCTTCGCGGCATGCTGCGAATCAGATGATGAATATCTACCTGTGGTAGGTTCTCCCAGGCTTATCTTACCTCATGACGTAGACGTTGAACATCCAGTAGAAGATGTGGCAACTGCCTCAGCTTTATACGTATCCCAGTCCAGATATGTTTAATGGGCGATAAGTCTGGTAGCTTTGCAGGCCATGGAAGAGGGGTTACATTAGCTTGTTGGAGGAAGTTTCGAGTAACTGCAGCGGTATGTGGTTCCGCATTGTCTTATTGGAAAATTGGATCTTGTAATTGCTGAAGGTAGGGCAACGTAGAAGAGTCGGTCGCAGACGCGGAGAAAGTCAACAATTTCAATTTTGTATGGAGCGAGAGACTGCGCTTACTAGGGGAATTATGGTTTGGAGTGCCATAGCAGTTTGAAACAGGTTGCCTCTAGTTTTTTTGGATTGAAACATGAACCCTCAATATGCTCAATACTACATTAATGACGTATTATAACCTGTCGCGTTGCCCTACCTTCAGCAACTGCAAGATCCAATTTTTGAACAAGACAATGTGAGATCACATACCGCTGCAGCTACTAGAAACTTCCCCCAACAAGTTAATGTAACCTTTCTTTCTTGGCCCGCAAAGTCACCAGACTTATCTCCTATTGAACATGTCTGGGATGTGATAGGTAGAAGGCTGAGGCAGTTGTCACATCTTCTACTGGATGTACGTCTACGTCATGAGGTAAGATTAGTCTGGGAGAACCTACCACAGGCAGATATTTATTTATTTATTTTATTTATTTCACATTACATTATATATATAAAAAATATGAAGTGAAATATCGTGATTAATTATTTACCACTTACTACTACTAAAATACCAGGTGGTAACTTCTTAACAAATGATTAGTAAATTATCTGAAACCAATAACTTATTAACAACTAGACATTTTCAACCTATTCACTACTTAATACTATCTACGTAAGTAGTCATCCATACTATATGGTTCCAAGTTGATTAAGAGGGCTTTTAGCTTTCTTTTAAAGCTCCTTTCTGTAGTTATACCGTTATACTTTTTGTAATTTCATCTAAGTTGTTGAAAAGTCTTATTCCCATATAGTATGGATGCTTCTCTGACAATGTCAGCCTATGCACAGGGAAATTGACATTGTAAGTGCGTGTATTATGACCTCCTAGAGCATTGAAGATATCTTTATTTTTAAATACAAACATAATAGTTTCAAATATATTGTCACGATATCGTCCGCCAGGCTGTCAAGAATCGATGGTGAAAATACTAGAATCTAGCGAATTATTCTACTTTTATCTGGAAAATTAGATTTTCGTGTGTATTCTAGATTTTACAGGAAGAGATTTAGGGATATATAAGAAGGCCAGCATTGGTTTGTAAGTTAAGTTTCAGTTTGACTTTGATACGATTTAAATAGTGATTATTATTGCGAGTTGTAAGAGTTTAGTTGTTGAGTTAGTTATTAAAGTGATTAGTGTCAGAGTGTATTGTTAAGTGGAATAAATTATTGCTGTGTTAATTGGACTTTGATTTTTGGAATAAACGAAACGAACCCAAGATTTTTGTCAGCAGGCAACCCAAAGCCGCGACACTGGTGCCAG